GTACCTAGATTGTGTGAATTATGTGGTCCTTATACTTTGATGGGTAGATTTTTTTATCAACATTGTGTGAAAGACGGCTTAGCCACATTAGAAAATGTGATGGAGAAAGTTAGAGGGGGGGGGGGGGGGGGGGTATTTGACTAATTTGGAGTAGTACACAACTTAAACTGCAATGACGTGCTTATTTGAAATCTAAATGTGTTACGTATTGTGTTCTTCCTAAACATTTGTGTATTCGTTGGAACAATGCTTATAAATTAATTTCTGTGCTTCTTAGATTTAAGGACCATATCTCTGCTTCTTTGAAAGAAACTCGTAACTATATTATAGAACCGATTGAGATACACACCATAGAGAAAATTTGCAACGTGTTAGTTTAATTTTATAACGCTTTTCAATCTTTTTCACATGTTTATACACCTACTAGTAACCTATTTTTTATAAAAGTTGTTAATCTCATTGGTGCTTTCAAAGAATTTTCCCAAAACCCCTTATGTTCATTATTTTTGGAGAAAAGTGTCAAATTGCCCCTCTTACTATGTAGTATATACGGAAAGTCAATTAAACCTCTGTACTTTAACTTTGATCAATTACGCCCTCCTACTATGTAATTTTAGTCAAAATCAATTTATAGCAGGTAGCATATCAGTTTCCCGGTCACCGCTGACGTGGACGCCCACGTGGAAGTCCACATCACCACTTTTTCTTTTTTCTTTTTCTTTCCTTCTTCTTTCGCCCTCTTCTTCTTCCCGTTACCCTCTTTCATATTTCCTAGGAATCCCATATGTTCCATCTCTCCCCCCCCCCCCCCCCCCCCCCCCCTTTTCACCTTCATTAATTTTCTACTTTCTTCTTCAGTTTTTCTTCCTTTCCCATGTCACTACCTTCCCCCAGCAGGTTCCGACCAATTTCCGGCGAAGAAGCAACCCAGTCCAGCAATGTAAAAATCCAAATTTCTTCTTCATTTAACTCCCAATCTTACTAATGTCATCTGAGGTTTGTTCCTTCCCGATTTCTGTTCGACTTGACAGCATCATAGAGCGAGGATTTTGCTACAGGGCAACTAATAGAATGTAAACATGGCGGGGAAGGACAGTGGCAATTTGTAATCCCCATCACAACGATGACAGCTGCAATCCGTGATGGTGGCATCCCCAGCTATGGCAGCTGCAGTCCCTGAGAGGCTGAGATGGCGGTCATAATCGCGGCGATATCTACAATTTCTGAATTTCTCCACTCTTGCTACGGAAGAGAAATATATGAACGGGTATGGCAACTAACTCGAAGAGGAGACCAAAGAAAGAAAAGGAAACAAAAAAGAAAAGAAAAAAAAAGGTCAAATAGGCCCTCGAACTAACTTAAAAAGTTCAAATCATCCCTTATATAGGAAGCTCTGTTCGGCCGTCACCATTTGGGACGATTCTCGGTGGATCTTTTTGATGAAATTTTTTGAACATCTTCTTCATTAAGTCTAGTTTACTCATACCAAATTTCAGCTAAAAATTCAATCGGGAAGGCAGTCAAATTAATTTTTGAAGATAACTGTGCAATATGATAACATACATTGCACAAAGCTCAATTAATGAGATTTCTTTATATGTAACGTTACATGTTGAGTATGATGAAGGTGAAGAGTTTGACATTCTCTAATGGTGGAACCGTGGAAGTGTCAGAAGTGTCATCAATGACAATTTCAACCGTTACCGTGAAATAAGAGTTTAACAAAACCAGCAACGTCTTGATTGATTATAAAATGAGGTTAAGCGCACAATTTCTTGATATGTTCATATGCTTCCACAATTGGTTTATGTCCCGAATATACCGCACGAACTAGCCTGAGACCGAGACCAACCAGGTACCTAGGACCATATCAAAACCGGTAAAAACCAGGTCAGTTATGTGCTTCAATTATAGGGGACAGAGACCGACCAATCTGGGACCGGGACCGAAACCAAGACCGAGACCAAGACAAGGTCCACCTAGACCCTTAGTGATTTATTACCTGCCACATGTGATCTCACCACCCCTAGTGACCCTCCTTGACCGATCCCTCCACCAACAATCCACATATCATTGCTTCTGCCTATTGATGGACTCAGGCCGGGTGGCCCGACCCGGAACCGGCCCGGGACCGGTACTGTTCCCGCCCGGTCAATGACCGATCCGGGTAGGCCCGACCCGTGGGTTTTCTGGTCCGGGCTCGGGTCACCCAAAACAAGACCCGACCCGGCCGGGCCCGAGCCAGGTTCGGGTCAACTTTTTTTTTCAATCTTTTTTAAATTTTCGGGTTGGTCTAGGTATTTTGGGCCATTTGGGGTGGTTTGGGGGTTGGAGTGGGAGGGGGGTTAATTAGGAAGAGGGGAAAAAAATTGATAATGGGCCCGACCCGGCCCGGCCCGGACCCAAACCGGACACGGTGGTTACCCGGGCCGGTCCCGGGTCCACCACTTCTTAACCGCCGGCCCGCCCGGGCCTAGGCCCGACCCGGACCCGAGTCCATCCCTACTTCTGCCTAGGCTCGGTACTATTTTGGCCCGGCCCGGTACCCGGGTCTGTGCTCGGTTCGAGTCACCAGGCTCTAGGGGTGGATTCGGGCCGGGCCGCCGGTTCGTATCACATGGGCCCGGGACCGGCCCGAGAGTTGGACGGGTCCGGTTCGGGCCGAGCCACCCGCCCGGGTCACGGGTCGGGCCACCCGCCGAGCCGGGCCGGGTCGGTTAATTTTTTTTTTTAATTTATATTTTATACTTTATAGTTTTATACAAGTATTAAAAAACAAACTTCAAGTGCATTTATTTTAAATGAAATAGGAACTACATTTGAAAATTAAATAGGAACTATAATTGTTTCTAAAACATGAAATACTAATCAATCATTCAATATTTCAATCGGAATCTCCGACATAGGTAAAGCCACCCTCGGTTGTAGATCCATCCATAAAGTGTTGGGATGGGGCGATGTCAATTTCTTGAGCTCTACGGGCTGCTTTCAACCAATCGTGGTAGCATATAAGCATCTCAAGAGATGCTGCGCTCAACCTCGTTCTGGTTTGTGTTAGGACATTGTCGGCCGAACTAAATTCTTGTTCCACGGCAACCGTTGAAACCGGCATTGATAGCACTTGCTTAGCCATCTTTGCTAAAACCGGGAACATTCTTTCTTTTCCCTTCCACCAGTTTAGTACGTCAAAATCATCATCTTCTTCAAAATCAACATCATAAGTTAAATACAAAGAAATCTCATTAATTGTGCTTTGTTGTGTAGCGGAGTTGATTTCGTTTTTTTAATAAGATTGGCAAACGTAGATTTGAAAATTGATTTTCCTTTAGATGATGTTTGTGTCGGGGGAGGGGGCGCATTGTCATATTGTGCATTAATTCGAATTATAGCAAATTAACTAGTGAATTAACTAGTTTTGTGTACAATATATTTTTTTTACTAACAATGAAATTAATACACTTTAACTTTAACTATAATTAGAATTTCAACTAGTTTTTTAAACTAGAGTCAAATGTAAATACTAGAATTTTGTACAATATATTAATCTAACTATTAATTCGAGTTATAGCAAATTGTACAACCTAATTAACTAGTTTTTTTTTCAAGTAACGTTAATACAAAATTAAACAAGTGTAAATAATAGAATAATTTCGTACCTCTTTCGGACTTTCGGTCTTTCGGATCATCGGATGGGAGTAATAGAATGACTTCAAATTAATTAGATATAATTCCAACTATATTAATAGATATAATAAATATATAAGTAATATATAATTAGATAACAAACATAAGTAATATAATACTATTTATATCTATTTATAGTTTATATAAGTAGATAGTTAATATAAAGTTATAAACTATAAATAATAAATATAATATATTGGAGTAGGCTTGGACTCGGGTCGGGCCACCCGGCCCGCTACTGTGCGGGACCTGGACCGGCCCGGTTCTCGAGTCCAGGTCCGGGTCGGGCCTAGGCCCGGGGGGTAGGGCGGGTCCGAGCTCGGGTCTCAATTTTGGTGAACCGGCCCAGCCGGGTCGGGCCCGGGCCAAATTGAATTTTTTTTATTTTTTTTTCATTTTTGGGGTTCCACCCGGGTTGGGCTTGATGGGTAGGATGGGTTTGGGGGGGTTTGGGAGGGTGGGGGTGAGGGGTGGGGGATAGGAAAGCAAAAAAAAAAAATCCAAACCGGAGGCCCGGCCCGGACCCGGTGGCTACCTGGGCCGGTCTCGGGTCCACCATTCTTGAACCTCCGGCCCGCCCGAAACCGGCCCGGACCCGAGTCCACCCCTATATTGGAGAATGGAGAATAAGAGAATTAGAGAGTAGAGAGTTAAGAATAGGATTTAGGAAGAATTGGAGAAGAGATGAAAAAATGTTTAAGATTAGGAATATTTATAGGTTTTTTTACCCCCCACCCCCACCACCCAATTCCCCCGGACCCCCCGGCCCGGTACTGTGCGGTTCGGGCCACCCAGCCCGTGACCCAGCCCGGCCGGTCAAATGTAGTTCCTATTAAAAACAATTATAGTTCCTATTTAATTTTCAAATGTAGTTCCTATTTCATTTCAAATAAATGCACTTGAAGTTTGTTTTTTAATACTTGTATAAAACTATAAAGTAAAAAATATAAATTAAAAAAAAAATTAACCGACCCAGCCCGACCCGTGACCTGGGCGGGTGGCCCGGCCCGAACCGGACCCGTCCAACCCTCGGGCCGGTCCCGGGCCCATGTGATACGAACCGGCAGCCCGACCGGGCCCAACACGGCCCGAATCCACCCCTAATTGAACCCCCCAGGTCAAGCCGACCCGTCTATGGTTGGACTCGGGTCGGGCCACCCGGCCCGCTACTGTGCGGGACCGGAACCGGCCCGGTTCTCGGGTCCACCCCTAGACCCGTCCCAGTCCACCCCTACTTCTGCCACAACCCAACCCAACCTTCCCAACTCCCACACCACCACAGGCCTAGGTGAACTCTAGCTGCACATCAACCGATACCAAAGTGAAATCCTAATCCTTGCACGACACCAAAAACTACCAGGGTAAGGTCCTTTTAAAAATAGTTATTACATTATGTATAAGTGTATAACTGTATAGGTAGGTAGTAAATATGTCAGCTAATAGAACATATACATGCAATATACGTCACATTACACTTCGAAGGAGGGTGGACAAGAGAGAATAAATCAACGAGGGACAGAAGAGATGGGGTGTTGAAGATGGTAAAAATGTGGAGCAGCCTCTCTCAACCAACATGGATCTATTGATATCACATTTCGCATGTACTCCCGATCTGTGGAAACTAGAGTTTGGTATATTAGCCACTTCGGATTCACCCTGCAAAAGTCGCACGAAATTATTATTATTATTATTATTATTATTATTATTATTAATATTGTTATTACTCCGTATTAAACACATACATAATGCATGTAAAAGAGTTAAAGAAATCTTTCAAATGTGACCACTTTTTTTTTCTTTTTTGCAAGACATCTCAGAGTGGGATACGTTACTTGAAAGAAGAAATCAACAAAAATTATCAACAAACATTCTTTATCCTCTCATGCTTCTATATCTAGTGGAGTCGCAATCAACAAAACTCAGCTTGTCTTTTTCCTCTCATGCTTCTATATCGTCAATGTTATACCCTATGACCCTATCCTTGAACATAACTTACTTTAACCGTCTCCATGTTAGAACAAAAACATGAATGTTTGAATTATTCTTCCAAGCATGGGTAGGAACTAGGAACAATAAGATATACTTCGTATATTTATCTACCTGAATAAAATAGAAGAAGGATGAATATAAACTTCTTGAGAACTCCTTATTGTCTTGTACATGCCATTGTGACTAAATGGCTGGAGACACATACATACAATAAAAAAACATCATATATCAGATATAGAAACAAGGAACCCTGTGGAGGAAAAGGGCAACAGGTCTTTAAAGACCCCTAAATGAAAACACGAGATTTATATACTCACTTCCAAACGACACGCATTAGCAAAAAAACCCATTGTAATCGCCTTCCTTAGTACCTGCAAAATGATTTAATATGCTTTACGGAGGTATTGTTTTATTTTTATAACCAACAAAAGTATAGTTTTAATAAGGCATAATTTCATAACAAACAAAAAGGTATAGTTTCAATGACGGTCCCTCGGATCATGCATATTTGGAGCATTCATCAGATCAATCAATCTACATTTGAAGCAATGTTTTGCTTTCTTTTCAAACTGATGGAAATGGTGTGATGATAGCATACTTCTAAGCTGTTTCCTAACTTCTATAGCCTTTTTCTTAAATTACCAGCATGTCCCCCTCGCAAGATTTCAAGCTTACGCCCAAGCGCAGTGCAGTCCTTCTAAGCTGCTCCCTAACTTCCATAACCTTTTTCTGCAAATATATATATATAGCACACAGAAACATAGTGCAAAGAAAAATAAATATTAATGGTTGGGTTCTTATAAAATACAGAGTATAATAACTACTCCGTATAACTGTATAAGTGAAACTGCAAAAAATAAAAATAAAAAACACAAAATTATAAGACCAAAATCACTCAAAAATGAAGATCAAATGCATAAGAAGTTACATACCATGGCATGATAGTTAATAAAATTATTTTGACACCACTTCGATGATTGTTTTGACTGGATGAATCCTTTGTACACATTTAAGAAAGTCACGTGATCACCCTGCATGATATAAACTTTGCAATCATTACGGCATGTTTCACAAAAAACATTCAAGATTTTACTCTTGAAATATAAACTAGAATAATACTGAGAATAATATTGAAGAGGAGGAAAGATTTTCTGTGTATTTCATTGAAGTATTAAGTCCCTATAAATATACATCACAAAGATCGAATATTCCTATAAGATTATATACAATAATAATATCCTAGAGTATATTCCTATAATATTCTAAAGCATATTCTAAAGCATATTCTAATATATTTCACTCACCCTCAAGTTGGAGCATAGATATTTATCATGCCCAACTTGTTACATAAGTAATCAACTCGAATCCCATTTAGAGCTTTAGTGAATCTCCATGTTGTTCTCCAGTCTTCACATATCCGATAGAGATCAATCCTTTTTGTATCTTCTCTTGAATAAAATGACAATCAAGCTCAATATGCTTTGTTCTTTCATGAAATACGGGATTGTTTTTTATGTGTATAGCAGCTTGGTTATCGCACCACAACTTAGCAGGCATTGGCGTCTTCAATTCGATTTCATTCAATAAATGGTGTATCCATATTCACATGCAAATTGTGTCATAGCTCGATATTCCGATTCAGCACTAGAACGAGAAACCACATTCGCTTTGTTACTTTTCCAGGATACTAAATTACCCCCAACAAAGACGCAATAGCCAGATGTAGATCTTGTATCATCTTTAGATCCAGCCCAATCAGGATCAGAAGAGCATTCTATTCACATGTGATCATGGTTTTGATAAACAATATCTCATCCCGGTGTTCCCTTCAAGTAACATAGGATATGTTTTACTGTAGTCCAATGATCAACTTCGAAGATGACATATATTGATTATTACACTCACTCACTGAGTAAGCAATATCTGGGCGGGTAATTGTGAGATAATTAAGCTTTCCAACCAATCTTTTATATCTTTCTGGATCTTCGAACCTTCTTGAGTGAGTTGCACATTGGGAATCATGGGGATATTTTTCGGTTTTGCCCCCAATTTCCCTGTTTCAGCTAGCAAATCAAGTACAAATTTACGTTGAGATAGAAATATGCCTTTCTTGCTTCGTGTTACCTCAATACCCAAGAAGTATTTCAATGAGCCTAGATCTTTCTTCTGGAATTGGCTATGAAGAAAATCCTTAAGGGCCAAAATACCTTTGATGGTCTACCTCAGGCGGGGACGGGCCTGAGCCCACCTTCGTGGGCTGGCTCTAGTTATTTTAATTAATAAGTTTTAATTATCCCTAATATTTTGTTTCCTAGTGTGGTTTAATTAGGACTTCTATTCTTATTAGAATTAGAGGTTTCCTATTCTATTTAGTTTCCTAATATGATTTAATTAGAATTCCTATTATGTTTCTTACTAGGATTTAGTTTCCTATTCAGTTTTGGATGTAAGGGTTATATAAACCCCTACCTAGGCTTATTAAAAGCAAGCATTAATAATATTGGATTTTAGCTATTTAGCTTGGGCAACGGATTCTACCGTTGATTTTTATTTCCGTTCTCATCAATTGGTCCGACCTGCCGGATCTCGTTCTCGCCGGTATGACAAGATCTAACAATGATCGTTTGTCGGAAGTTGAGGCTGAGCAGGTCCTGATGAACCAGAAGCTGGACATGCAGGGAGAGAAACTGGACACACATGGCAAGCAATTGGCCGCGCAGGGAGAGCTACTGGCCGCACAGGGAAAGAAACTGGAGGAGATCGCAGCCTCCTTGGCAGCACTCTCGAAGGCATTCATACCGCCGATGACTGAAGGGTCGACATCGACGACGGCTTCCCCGGAAGTTACGGCAAAATCCTTGTTCGAGTCAGGGCAGCGCGGCACCACTGTCACGCCGCTACCCTCGTTTGACGGTGAAGACCCCATCGGTTGGATTGCTAGGGCTGAGCAACAGTTCGAACTGAACTGTACTCCGCCAGGAAAGAAGGTGGCAGCAGCTGTGGTTGCGATGGAAGGGACGGCCCTATACTGGTTGACCTGGTTACGAGCGCGGAAGCCTGTCCTATCATGGGAGGAGCTTACACAGGCGTTGGTGGCTCGATTTGACTCACGGTTTAAGGGAAATCGTTTTGAACGGTTGTCCGGAGTCAAGCAGAACGGGGCGGTGGAGGAGTACATCTCAATTTTTGTTCAACTGGCAAGTCAAGTCCCAAGGTTATCTGATGATATTTCATGAATGGGCTTAAGGGGCCGATTCGGGGATCTTTACGATTGTTGCAGCCGAACAGTCTGGAAATTGCAATGGAATTGGCCAGAGATATCGAGGACAATCTGTCCTTTCAGAATGGAGGCCGCGGGAGCCAATCCTACAATACGAGATCACGTTCGGGCAGTTTTACACGACCAAGTAGCGGTACCAGCACGACCATGAGCGGTGGCAGCATAAGAGGCTCGAGTGGCAGCTTTACTAAGGCTAATGGGCCACCCACGGGAACAAATTCAGGGCTGTCCGGGCAGTCTACGACACGATCTAGGTTCACTCGACTTCCGCCGAAGGTGTTAGAGGAATTGCGGGCTAAGTGATTATGCTTTAGATGTAAAAAACCTTTTACACCAGGGCATGACTGCCCATTCAAGCAGTTACGGGTGATGATAGCTGAAGAAGATGAAGAGTTGGACCTCCAACAACATGATTTTTGTGAGATAACCGCACAGGAGGAAGCTCAAGGGGATCAGGAAGGTTCGGAAGGAGATGGAGGAGATTTTCTAGTCTATTCTATATTTCTATGGCTGGAATTTTTAGCCCTCATACTATGAGACTCCGAGGGGTGGTGGCAGGATGCACGGTGACCATTTTGATAGATACTGGCGCAAGTCACAATTTTATTTCTAATAGATTTTAGAGTAGGAATAGATTGAGACTGAAAAGCTTGATTCATTCCAGAATATGATATCCTATTTATACAACCTTTTTGAGACTAATAAGGTAGGCTACTAATAATAATATTAAATACAAAGATATGTAACTGATTTATAATACTAAATACAAATATTGTGTAACTTATGTAACGGTGCCCTGGAGCTGTCTAGACTCTTCTATATGCCCCCGCAAGCCAGGTATTCTATCAGTGCTGAGAATCCTGAGGTTGTCACGTAGAAAAACAAACCGTTGCAGTGAAAGGGGTTTGGTGAGAATGTCAGCTAGTTGATCATGTGAGGGGATAAGAAGGACTCGAAGAAGACCATGTTGCACACGTTGACGGACAAAATGGAAATCAATGGCAACATGCTTCATGCGGGAATGAAATACAGGATTGGCGGAAGAAGTGGTAGCGCTTTTATTATCACATAGAAGAACCAGAGGGGAAGTAGGTGAATGTCGGAGCTCATGAAGAAGTGACTCAATCCAGAGTGTTTTGAATGCAGCAGTGGAAAGAGCCCGATACTCTGCTTCGGTAGAGGATTTGGCAATTGTTCGTTGCTTGGATGATTTCCAGGAAATAAGTGACTCTCCGAGAAAAATAGAATAGGCACTGGTAGAGGAGCGGTCATCAGGCAATCCTGCCCAATCGGCATCAGCATAAGCACATAAGGAGAGGGAAGAACTCCGTCGAAAATATAAACCATGAGAGGCAGTTCCATGAAGATAACGCAAGAGGCGTTTCATGAGTTGCCAATGATTCACCGTGGGTTTGTGCATAAACTGAGCTAGCTTGTTGATGGCAAGGCAGTGTCAGGTCTGGTGAGATTTAAATACTGAAGGGAGCCAATGACCTGCCGATAGAGAGTTGCATCACAAGAACCCGAACTATCAAACCGAGTCAAGGAAGTTGAAGATGCTAGAGGTGTGGATACTGGGTTCGCCTCATGCATATTCAGCACCTGTAATAAATATGTAATATACTTTGTGTTGATCAAGAAAAAGACCATCTTGTGTAGGGGTGACCTGGATGCCCAAGAAATAATGAAAGGATCCTAAATCCTTAATGGAGAATTTCTGTGCCAATAAGTCAACAGTCCGATGAATTAAAGCTGGTGTAGAGCCACTGACAATAATATCATCCACATATACTAACACATAGATATAAGAGGGACAAAGAAGAAAATATGAAGAGACTGGCATCAGAAACGGATTGATGAAAACCAAGGGATAAAAGAAATCCACCGAGAGACTGGTACCACACTTGAGGGGCTTGTTTAAGCCCGTAGATGGATTTCTTAAGGCGACATACTCTCCCAGAGCCATCATTGAAACCAGGAGGTTGTTTCATGTAAACTTCCTCTTGGAGAGCTCCATGTAGAAATGCATTATTGACATCGAGCTGATTGGCCAACCAGCCATGAGAGAGAGCAATGGTTAGAACAACCCGAATAGTAACTGGTTTGATAACTGGGCTAAAGGTCTCAGAGTAATCAATCCCTGGGCGTTGGTGAAAGCCCTTAGCCACTAGTCGAGCTTTGAAACGGTCCAAGGATCCATCGGGCTTATATTTCACAGTATAGACCCATTTGCAACCAACAATGTTTTGATCAGGATGAGCAGGTACAAGCTCCCAAGTTCCTTGTTGAACCAAGGCAACAAATTCCATAGACATAGCCTTTCTCCATTCAGGTACCTGTAAAGCTTGAGAAGCACAAGTAGGAATAATATGATGAGGTAATGATGAGTGGGTAACAACATTAGCTTGCTTACGGGGACGAAGGGTCATTGGGTGGGTACGTTTGGGAGGGGAGGGGTGTGGATCATGATGGTGATCCAAGGTCAATACGGAATTATTGGGAGTGGGAATAACTGTTGAGGTGGTGGTGTTGGGTGTAATTGGCAAGGATGGGGTAGTTGGTTTTTGTTTGGGCCGGCGTTGGTAATTGACAAGAACCAGTGGGTGAGAGGCGGGTGGATTGGTAGGAGGTGAAAATGAGGTGGAGTTAGACATATTAGGGGAGTCGTGTTGTGTCGAGGTATGAGTAACAGAAGACGCCTTTGCTAGTGATGTACCTGAAATAGGGAGATATGAAATAGGTGGTTGAAGCCAATTATCAATATC